TCCAAACAATTAGCACGAGTAATGAACATTTATGAACTAATAATAGCACTCTGAAATTTATAAGAATTCCCAAGTGTGAAACTAAGCCATGCATTCAATTAAATTAGCTATAAATTACGAATCTCAGGCGCGTGATATGCCGCCAAAAATACAACAAAGAGTGTTTTGGTCTCAAATTGTTTGTATTTGTCTTTTATTTTCGGTCTTTTTTGTTTACGACACAGAGAATTATACATATTTGCCAGAGGTTTTGTGTCTTTAAGCGATTGTGTATTAGGCTGAAAAAAGGCGTTAAGGCGTTTGTGATTACAAATAAGTAGATAATATTGATTGAGAGGGAGTTTTTACCTTCTGGAACTTACGTTGTTTTTAATGAATAGTATTCTATTATTTTCATAAATTGTATTTTATTTCTTATAGTTGATAACACCATCTGTCTGTACCAAGAGCACAATACCACTCACCGCAAGGAGATCGGAGCGGTGTGGTTTGCCTCCAATGATCCTTGTGTGGTGTATTCCTGTGCAGCTGGAGTGGCCAAGGATCCACAGGCTCATATTGTCGTGACTCAGGTCGATTGCAATGAGTTCTATTGCGAAGTGGTTAGTAGGCAATAAACTCTAGCTCTAAAGTATTTCTTTCTTATCAATATTTTCTTGTATTACAGGGCTCGGAGCTGCGTAGTGTCGAGGGCAGCTGTTGTGGGGAGTGTGTGAGGACCCACTGTCAGCACAACCACACCCTATATGCAGTGGGTGAATCCTGGCACAATGACGCCGATTGCACTCTTATCGAATGCGGACGTCTCGATAATGGACAGATTGTCATGAATACATACCAAAGAAATTGTCCAGAACTGACTGAAGAATGTCCACCTTCGAGATTAGAGGAGCGAAACTGTTGTCCCTACTGCAGACCTCTCCAAACTGCCAGGATTGAGGAACTTCAGGATATCGGAGAGGAGGCCACAGATGATATTTGGACCGCTGAATGGTATCGCAACCATCCCTGCAACCGGGATTGTCAGGTGGGAGCCGAACCCATGACCTGTCGTTATAACTTTGTGGTTGAATGGTATCAGACCTTTTCGAAGGCCTGCTACGATTGCCCACGTAATCTTACGGATTGCTCCAGACCCCATTGCGTCATGGGTGATGGTCTAGAACGAAGTATCACTGTGGTGAATCGCATGATGCCTGGACCATCGATTGAAGTCTGCGAGGGTGATCAGATTGTGGTGGATGTGAAGAATCACCTGCTGGGCGAGAGCACCTCCATACACTGGCATGGTCTGCACCAGAAGAAGACCCCCTATATGGATGGTGTTCCGCACATCACCCAGTGTCCAATCACTCCCCATGCAACCTTTAGATATTCCTTTCCAGCTGATCTCTCGGGAACTCATTTCTGGCACTCGCACACTGGAATGCAGAGAGGAGATGGAGTTTTTGGGGCGTTGATCATCCGAAAACCCAAGACTGCCGAACCCCATGGAGGACTCTATGACTTTGACCTCAGCGAACATGTGATGGTTGTCCAGGATTGGATACACGATACGGGTGCCAGTATCTTTTCCTATCATCATCACTCGCGGGGCGATAACAAGCCCCACAATCTGCTTATAAATGGCAAAGGTCGCTATTACAACCGCATTTGGGCGGAGGCCAAGCAAACTCATCGCAGAGCTGAGGAGAGGACCACTCAGCCCGTGGAACCACTGCCTAAATCGCAGGTGGATTTTGTTCAAACCCTACCAAGACAAGCTCGCCTGGCCAAAGCCAATACCACAAAACTCTTTCCGGTGAATTCGAGGCAAAAGAGAGGTAATCTCAATGAAATACCCTTGGAACTAGTGCCCCATCAGGTCTACACTGTTAGAAGAGGCTTCCGGTATCGCTTCAGGATTATTAATGCAGAGTACCTTAACTGTCCCATTGTGGTTTCTGTAGATGGTCATAACCTAACAGCAATTAACTCAGATGGATACGATATCGAGGCAATGGATGTAGGCTCAATTGTTACCTATTCCGGCGAACGATTCGATTTTGTGCTGAATGCCAATCTTGAGGTGGGAAATTATTGGATTCGGCTAAAGGGTCTGATGGACTGCAGCGAAGTCTTCACCTCCGCCTTTCAAGTGGCCATCCTGCGCTATGAGGGAGCTCCGGATGAGGAGCCCACTGCGGAGTTGAGCTATGGCCACAAAGCAGAGGGTATAGAATTGAATGTAATGAATCGCGGTCCTGGATATCCGGACACCAAAACCGTGGCTGAAATGAGGGCTCTGCCCATCTATGATCATGTGTCGGGCATCGACCACGACACCCTCAAACCGGAGGCAGACTACAAGTTTTTTATCTACTATGACTTTTATACCAAGAACAACCCTGACTTCCACGACAAGGATCTCTATGCCATGGAAATGGAGATGACCCAACAGAACCGACTTTACACACCCCAATTAAATCACATTACCCTGGACTTTCCTTCGATGGCACTTCTTCCGTCAAGGAGTAAGCTTAAGGATTCCGACTTCTGTAACGAAACAAGTCTGATGGAACAAGGTATCGATTGTCGCAAGGAGTTCTGCAAATGCCACCATGTTCTCCAGGTTCCGTTGGGCGCCGTAGTCGAAATGATAATCGTGGATGAGGGATTCCAGTACTACGCCAACCATCCCTTCCATTTGCACGGAAACGCCTTCAGAGTGATGGGATTGGAGCGATTGGGGGAGAATGTTACCATCGAAATGGTGAGTAATTCAAAATGGTTCTATATTTAATTTTTGATAACCTTTTGTATTTCTTTTCCATTTAGATCAAACAACTGGATCAATTCAATTTACTCAAAAGGAATCTGGACAATCCACCCGTCAAGGACACAGTCACTGTTCCAGATGGTGGTTATACCATCATTAGATTCGAGGCCTCCAATCCCGGCTATTGGCTATTCCACTGCCACATCGAGTTTCATGCGGAGATTGGCATGGCCCTGGTCTTCAAAGTGGGTGACGACGATCAGATGGTCCCAGTGCCTGAGAATTTCCCCACCTGCGGCGATTACAATCCCGACTTAAGGTCTGATGGTGAAAGTACAGAAGATTTGGGAACTAGCAAGCCAACAACAGGAACTCCCCCAAATGCTGGAGGCGGAGTGTCGGGCCTGGCACCCCCTTTGATTACTCTGATGATTAGCTTTATGCTGGTGAAACTCTAACGATAAGAAAATGCCTTGGAGAAGGAGAGAACAACCCAAACTTGCCAAGCGAAATTCAGAGATTATTTATTGACGACGAGGGAAGTACGTGGAGATCAAGTTGATTTTGATTTTGAATGATATAGAAAATATTTGTTATCTAGCATTTGTATATATTCCATAGCCCGCATCGTTGTAGCCTAAACATCTGTGATTGTCTAAGAAATTGTAATAAATATAAATTAATGTTTTTATAAGGAATCTAAATGTTTGTAATGGGAAGCTAGTTTATTATAATTTTAAGAATACGGGATAGGTTGTCTTGTATCAGAAAGTTAATGTTATAATATATAGAAAAGTTCTGACGTAAATTTTTATAATCATTGCAACATTGTCTTCAGTAAGTTTATAATGAGGAACCCAGTCGAATTATTGATATGTTGTCAGGTGGTGTTGGGAGATCGGTAAGACCAGCCAACGCCCTCGATGTCGATAGCGGTCTTATCTGGTCCCCACTGGCAACAGCTGGTGACGGGCTTGTTGTCGTCTTTTCCAGCCGAAAGTATCAGCAATGGACAGGGACCTGATCTTTCATCCCTTGACCCGACGAAGATAGCTGAAATTATGGCGATGTTATTGCATTCTTGAACAAAGTTATCAGAAAAGCTGGACTGAACATCTGGACTCGGTGCATCTAGGGTGTTATATAAGAGCAGTCACCTACTATGGCAAAATCAGTCAGAGTCAGTCACTCATCCCATCACAATCCAGCTTTAGTTAATCCCAAAAGGCACCTAACCTCAAGCAAAAATGTTCGACTGGACCGGTAAGAATGTTGTCTACGTTGGCAGCTTCAGCGGCATTGGCTGGCAGATGATGATGCAGCTGATGCAGAAGGACATCAAGATGATGGGCATCATGCATCGCATGGAGAACGTCGAGATGATGAAGAAGCTGCAGGCCATGAACCCCTCCGTCAAGGTGGTTTTCATGCAAATGAACCTCATGGAGAAGATGTCGATCGATCAGGCGATGAAGAAAATGGGCCAGCTGATGGGCCACATCGATGTGATGATCAATGGCGAGAGTGTGCTGCTCGACAAGGATGTGGAGACGACGATGGGCATGAACCTGGTAAGCAGTCCTTAGGTTTCTTCAAGAATTTCCAATTGAATGTCCAACCTTTTCCATCAGACTGGCATGATCCAATCGACGATGATGGCGATGCCCTACATGGACAAGACTCAGATGGGCATGGGCGGCATGGTGATCATGATGTCCTCCGTTTATGGATTGGAACCCGCTCCCGCCTTTGCCGTTTATGCCGCCGCCATGCACGGCATCCTGGGATTCACCCGCTCCATGGGCGATAAGATGATTTACCAGAAGACCGGTGTCATGTTCATGGCCATGTGCCCGGGACTCACCAACAGCGAGATGATGATGAACCTGCGCGACAACGTCACCTGGCACCATTCCGAGTCCATGGTGGAGGCCATCGAGAGCGCCAAGCGCCAAATGCCGGAAGAAGCTGCCCTGCAGATGATCCACGCGATGGAGATGATGAAGAACGGCAGCATGTGGATCGTCAACATGGGCCAGCTTAAGGAGGTCATGCCCACGATGCACTGGCAGATGTAAATGGCTTAGCTAATAAAGAGTGGCAAAAAAGAGTGCCACGTTTGAGAGATTATAAATTATGTCTTTGCTAAAAAAATAATTGGGAGCTTGGTTGGAAACATTTAATCACATTACCCTTTCCCCATTCTCAGATCGTATTTCTGAAAACAAAGAACTTAGCAACCATTTAGAAACAATTCTCATCAGTCAGTCTTGTACTTTTAGCTACACACACGGCTACATACAAAGTCCAGAAAGAATAACTAGAATTTTACAAAATTGTCGTTAACATCAACCACATTTTTTTAAATTTACAAACTTTTGGCTTAAAACTGTTTGGGCAATGTCGAGTCCATTCAAAAGTAGTTGCATTTACTGTAGTGATGAGGTGTCGGTATGCTCTTTCCTGGGATATCGGTCCAGAATTCCTGTAGACAAGTCATTGGCCAGGTCGAGCTCTTGCAGTTCCGAAGATTCATGTACTGAAAACGCCTCCTCAAAAAGAGCTTGTCCCAGTCAAAGGTCACGTCAATCGAAGAAGCCCAAAAGTACTCTTAAATGTTCTACCTTTAAAAAGCCTACGAAATGTCAAAAGCAACAACCAAATCCGGCTATTATAAAAGCCTTGCAGCAGAAAAGAAAGCTTAACAAAGAATTGGAAAGATGTTCCCCAGAGCCTCTTTTTAAAGCTGTTATTTTGAGAGAGATGATCAGGCTTGGAAGACAACCAAAATCAACGTTTGGAAAGGCTGCAAAGAGCGCTCGGTCTAGTAGAAAATGCGGCCCAAAAAGATCGTGTAAAGCTGAGAATCTGTCAGAGAATCCTGCTGATCTAATGTAAGTAAAAGAAATAATAAATAATAATCTTCCCTTAACCAACATTAAATCCTTCTAGGGAAATGCTGTTTGGAACTCAGGAAAATGCAATTGAAAATGTCGTGGAATTTGAATCATTCAACTCATTAATCTCGAATGAGGTGCCAAGGACACCTTCCTTCGAGCACGAGGTCCAGGTGCATAATCAAGACTATCCGCAAGAACTGGAAAAGTTAGGTTCGGCAAAAACTGAATTTGAGTTGTCATTGATGGATTTAGATGAAACCAAAGATGTTGATGATCAAGTAGACGAAGAGTCGACAGGGACAGCACCACACTATGCTTTGGAAGAATCAGATTCAGCATCAGACAATAATTCCAACGAAATCAAATCGACCATGAGTAGTCAACATTTCTACATAAGCAATGATATTAATCAATAATTAATATATAATATCATATCTAAGCCACTTATTCATAAATTAAAGTTCATACCAATATAAACAGTTCTTTGGATACCTTATACCTCAACGAGGTATATTTATTTTAATTCAGATTTTGAATTCCAAAAGTGGAAGATTATTTTAAATATGTAAATGTTTTATCACATGGTAAAATCTAATTACAGCCAGAGAGTTCTTGATGTAAGCTTTTACATCTTAGATGATCTATTTGCATTGATTACTCTCCATCCTCCGGTTAAGTTCAGCCTCAAAGTCAGCTTCATTGAAGCTGTGGTTTCGGCGGAAGAACTCGTCGAGTATCTTTGCTTGGCACTGGCCCACCTCCATCATGGATCGCCAGTCGGCGACATTCTGTGGCATTTTTCCATCCTCCAGATGAGCATACTCCGGTTCCAGGGGGCAGTTGTAGTGACGAGAGTCGGCCATTACGTCCCTGGCGGTGTTGATCACATGGTAGCAGACAGCACACTCAAACTTTTCAAAGAGTGATGCTCCCGGCGATGAATCGCCAATGTGGTACCGACGCGTGACAAGGTTGTGGAGCAGATTCTTGTTGGAGATGGGGTTGCGCCAATTTAGTTTATGCTGGCGATACGAATCGTACTTAATTTGATTTTCCCCCAATTCAGTCAAAAACTTGGCCAACTCTCGCGGGTTGGGAAAGTCGTTTACAAAAACAGCAGACTTCTTATTCGGCTGCCAGTCCTACAATATTTGTGGCAAATAATTAGGAATTGTGGAAACCTGTATAACAAAATGCACTTACTTTAATTGTGGGTGAGCCAAAGTAAATGGGAATCACTCCCATGATCAAAGGGCGCCAAAACTTTTCGGTAATGTAGTCTGGACAGGCAGCATTCTCAAAAGCAATCATGAACTTGTACTCGGACAGGAAACGCAGCAACTCCGGTGAATAGAGATTATTCAAGTAGTCCTTCTGCAAGCTGCAACAAAACGAACGTACATCTTATATTTTTTTTGATTATTGTAGAAGGTTTTCTTCTATGAACTAAAATTGTAATTATTTTTTGGCTGCTCTTCCAGTACTATTTCGCCCATTGAAAGGCGTCTCATTGTCTTCGTTTCTCTGGCGTTCTAGCTCCAGGATCGCATTGTTGTCGGGCAACAGAGTTGCCTCATTTAAGGCGCCATCCTCCAGTAAACGAGGGTCCTGTTGACAAGTGCAATGGGTTGTCGAAACGCTGCCCATCTGCGTACGGCAATGGTGGCACGGCAACGATCCGAACAACTGCACCCAGCACTCCGTGCAGCAGATCTTGGGGAGCTCGGCCGGTCCTGGCGATGTCATGATTGTCTATGTCTAGGGTTTTCCGTATTAGGTTGTTGTATATATGTGATGTAGACCGTGTGGCAGTTATCAGTGAGTGAGATATAGTCGAGTTTGAATGGGTCACAAAAGGAGTAGCCTACTTGCCTTTCAGGCAGATCTTTGTTTCGCAGGCAGCTGCCGTATGAATCGATGGAGAGGTGCTTCATCAGCTCCTTCACATAGTCCTCCCTTCCAGACATCGTATCGCAGTCGCTTTGGAGGAACACCACCGATGGGGACGGACGATAGGCATATTTGGACTTCCCAGCAAACGGAACATAGTAGTCCTTCGAGGTGAGTGCCTGGCCACTGGGCAAGTACTGCGTGGTCAGTGGAAAGTTGCTGAAGCGGCTGAAGGTCGAGGTGAAGTGAAAGTGCCGCAGGAACTCAACATTGGACACGAACGGAGCATTTCTAGGAGATTCTTCATGGAGTAGGGCCCATACTTGATGCTTGTTACGCGGAAGCGGGAAGTCCCCCGTCTTCATATTGGAGCCGTAGAACAGAACACCCTGTTAAAATAATATAGAATTAATATGGTTTTGTTATATATTTTAAAAGTTGTTTCAGTCCTTTAGGCTTAGAAATCCTTCGATTCCACATTATCTATAAAGGAAGACAATAATTATTGTAAGTTTCCTTTAAGAATGTTTTGATGAGCAAACAAATAAACTTTGTTCATCAATATCTTGTATAGTCTTATACAAAATTAAGAAGAAAAAGTATTTTCATAACAAAATATACTAAATAAATTAGTAACAATCTAAACATGGTACATGATATCTAAATATTATATATGATATTAAAATATGATATCTATTAAAACTATACTTAACTAATCTATAATGTCACAAAGTAGATTAATATTTCTTTCTAGCAGCATTTTTAAAAACTTTCTGAAATCTTTGAGAAAATTTACTTCTATCGCTAATGTATTAAAGATAAAAAAATAAAATCTTTAGGAGCTGTATTATACTATTTTTAACTAAAGAAATCTGGATTTAAGAAATTTTTAAGAAATCTTTATGATGTGGAACAGGGCTTCAGAGAATCTTTTTGTATAATTCTTATCAAGAGCCAGCCGGATGTGGAGAAGGAAATTAAGACTCTTGGCAATGTTCACAAACCCGGGACATCGGAAGGCGGCTGCGCTTGTTGGAGATGCGGCAAGTGTGGATGCCGCACTGGCGCACCTCGTCGTGGCTCCAGGACATGTCCCTGGACCACCAAACCAGCTCCACAGGACTGTCGTGCTTGGAATTGTCGAGGTTGATTTTGTCGTAGCAGAAGAACAGAATAGTCAGCCAAATGCCGAGCGCTACTGCCAAGTAGCGGCGTGCCAGCCGCATGACTGTCGTTAGAGTCCTCGCTTACAGGATGTTAAAGGTAATTCCGCGCACTTCGTTTCCAATTCAAAAAGCCGGTGCGCCGCAATTTCACTAGAGCGGCTTAATTTCGACTGGCAGCCGTCAGCTGATTTTTGCCAGACACAGTGTTGGGAAACGCCTCTTCGTTTAAATCCCACTCTGCACGACACGACCTGTAATGGATTGCATGATGTGTTCAAATATAATTATATGGGTTTTGGTAAGTTTTGAAAATTACTTTGGGTTGTATTTTTACCTATAAAAAGATTATATTATTATAATTTGTTATAGCATATTTACTAAAGCACTGGTGAGAGCAGTATCCGGAGTCATTGTGGAATAATTTTTACTTTATAATATGTTCTCGTACATAAAAAACTGTAGTTTTAAATACTGCCACGGCTCCCTATAGCATTATATTTGAAGTACTTCAAAAATGGGTTGTCCCAGGCTTCGAAAAATTACTACCTTAGAAATAGCAAATAGTAGAAACAACTAGTAGCATTTAGAACCCTTAGTTATAACATTCAAAAATATTCTTTTTTTTGCGAAAGAGTCTCCCTCCAAAATTAAAAAACACTTTTAAATAACCAAATGTGTTAACCAATTTTCTAATTTTGCTGAATTGAACAAGCTATGTAGCCAGAGCAACCAATGCTTATGAAATGTTTTCTTATAATAGACATTTTTATGATTTTACTATTTTATATTATGTATTTTTATCAAAAATCTTAATAAGTCACTTAAATCCTTAAAGAAGATTTAAAAAAACTTAATGAGTTATTATTATTATTTTTGTTGTACCTTCATCATGCAGATTTTGTCATGCATGCTTGACCGTTTCCATCCCTCGCCAGCTGTCATTCAGTCCGTCGTCGTTTTGCAACACTGCAGTTCGTCATAATATTGTTCCACTTACAATTGCTCAATTAAGCGACCGCAGCAACAGAAACACCCATAAATTGGACGAAATGCGCCCGTTCCGCCTTCAGTGAACGTCCAACGAGAGTGGAGTCATCGCGGGGCAAGCAACATGCAACATCTGGCCGAAAAGAGCGTCGAGCGAAGGTAGAAAACAAACATTGACATAACACGTCAACGGTTGGGAGCAGCAGTCGAACCACCGGGGAAACCATACGGCGCGGCACTCTAATCGCAGAGCATGTGTTATGGCCACGACAAGGACCGCCGGAGATGCCGCCACGTCCGTTGAGTCCGGATCGGGACCGGGAAGTGCCGGATTCAGGAAACTGTCCACGGCCAGTGGCGGTGGAATCGCCGGAGGAGCGGCCCCTAGCTGGCAGAGCTGCTACTACTGCACCCGGGAGCACTTCAAGACCATCAGTGACTTTGTCAAGTGAGTGGCGACCGCGAAGTCATTGCCTTCATTCCATATACATTTTTTACAACTCATTTTATGTACCTTAAACCGATTTTATCTTAACTGTACGATAAAGTACATTCACATGTATGAGTTTCAATGATAAACAGCAGCTAAAACTGAACAGGCAGCAGGTAAAAGCAACTTAATTTGGGTAGCTACAGTCGAGCTTTCATTACTCGAGGTCTATAGGGGCATCCCAGAAATATATTTCGACCACATATCAACCGGAAGCCAAGCCTCGGTTTTTTTGAGAAAAGATAATAAACATTTCTGGCACAGCTGAAACTTTAGAAAATCAGATTTTTTGGATTGTAATAGAGTATATAACTATGAAACTTCATACCTAGATTTTTGCTCTGTCAAGATAGTGATTTAAAACCTGGTAGCTCGACTGTTTTACAAACCACCTGGTTTAAAAATATTTAATCCCAATATTTTATGGTAACATACAATTGACATCATACATTCATAATAAATGAATATAGATTAGTTATACTCCATTTATAGCCTAGTTCGGGAGAAAGTTTAATCACCCCAAATCGTACATAGAAAGATTTAAAATCTAAAGTGACGAATTTTAAAGTACATCGTAATTACTAATTTAATAATGAATCATTAGAACTATAAGCTTTAAAGATAAAATCTAAAATAAACTCTCCCATTACCTATTTCAGTCACCTTCGGAATCGTCACTGCACCCGGGAGGGCGGCTCCTTCGTGTGTCGCTATGGCTTCAATGGAGTATGCGCATCCCTGCCACTGGACGGAGTCTCGGACCGCGACTACGACGCCCATGTGGCCAAGTACCATGTCAACCAGCACACGCGCGAGATGCCCCCCGAATGGGGAGTCTACTCGGCCGCCCAGAACCTGCCAGCTGTGCTTAACGATCCCTCGCGCGGCAAACAGAGTAATTTGTTCACCAAGAAGTGGGGCGAGCACTTTGTGGAGCGCAGTCATGTCCCAGCATCACCCCGTTTGCCGGATATAACCCATGCGGACTTTTCCGTATATCTGGGCAGCATTGGAAAGCGATATCGCTGGCACGAGCGCCGTCAGCAGCAGCTGGAGCGCGATAAACCGCTGGAGAATGGAGCACAAGGAACACCTGGACCGGGAAGTGGTGGTCAGACACCCACGCACTTGAGTTCGGTGCCTGAGATTTTTCTTAAATCGCAGCTTCAGCTACATAACCCGGTCACCTTCAAACAGGTGTTTCCTAATTACATGCAAACCTCTGCTTCAAGTCCGGAATCCCATCAGCAAACTGGGCGCCAGCTGCAGGAACAGCTGAGTCAGTATCTGGACATGGTGGAGGTGAAAATTGCACAGCAGGTTTCGCAGAAATCGGCTGCATTCTTTCACGCCATGACCACACAGCATGCTATTTTGGCTGAAATGGAACAGGCAGCGGACCAAGTGCGTCAGTTAAGGGCAGCCCTGGCCCAACTCCACAGCCATTCGGTTGTGGATAGCTTCAAAGTGCTGCGTTTTGCCCAACGAAGACAGCACTACAACCTCACACTAGACAAGCTCCGACTGATGGCCACCGTGCACAAGACCCAACCGATGCTGCAGCTTCTCCTGGGCACCCAGGACTATGTGGCTGCCTTGGATTTGATAGGAACCACCCAGGAGATCCTTTCCGCCGAACTCCTCGGCATTCACTGTTTCAAGCACCTGCCCATGCAGCTAAGCGAGATGGAGAAGCTAATTGACAAGATGCTAACCACGGAATTCGAACGCTATGCTGCCGCGGATCTCAATCGACCGCTGACGGATGCCCTTCGTGAGACGGACAGCGTTTGCGCCGAGGAGGATAAACTGGTTGCCATCGTGATGGGTCTACTGCGGAAGCAGAACTTCTCTTTTGTCCAGGCATACCAGCAAGAAGCCATTGCCACCATTCGAGCCATCATAAAACAGCTGCTGATTGAGGTTTTGGCGCGCAGTGACAGCGATCAAGAAATCAGCTTAACTGGTCACGGGGAGCAGGCCTTGGAGCTCACCCTGCCCGAATGGATTGCCCTCCTGCAACGCTCCAGTCAGGCCCTGGTTTCTATTCTCGAACGCATTAAAACTGTAGTGGGTATAATGCAGCAAACAGCGGATGCAGCTGTGGGAGCCCAGGATGCAGTGAATCTGATAGATTCGGAAGCCTTTCTGAGTCCTGGACACCACGAGCAATTGAAGTCCCAGCTGCAGCAGCTCCTTCAGGCCGTCTGTCATTACTGCCATGAGCGTTGTGCCAATATTGTTTCCCCTCAGAGCCTGGAAAAGAGTTCGGCGAGTGAGCAGGAGCTCTCCCAACTCTCTGAGATTGTGGAACAGTTTGGCGAGACCACAAGGAGCATTTGTGGAGTGGCCAGTGTGCCTCTTCAGTTAGCCTTAAAAGTCCAGGCATCGCGATACGCTCAAAGATTCCATTCAGAACGGAAACAGAAGTTGTCTTTACTTCTGGATCAGGAGCGCTGGCGCCAGGTGGATATTCCCCACGAATTTCAAAGGATTATCGAACGTATGGCCGCCGGAGACTATGCAAAACCGGAGATGAGTAATCTGATTAGCAATGGCACAGGCAACCCCGTGCTACTGGTGGATGGTAAACAGCCGTACACTTTGGTTAGCGCTTCGCTGATGCTCATCCGAATGCTGTATGAATACGGAGGAAGTGCCCACAGGTTGCCATTGCTAGCCAGCTATCATGCACGGAATGTAGTGGATCTACTGCGGTGTTTCAACTCACGAAGCTGCCAACTCATCATCGGAGCAGGCGCCATGCGGGTGGCTGGCCTAAAGACAATTACTAGCACCAACCTGGCACTCGTTTCCCGAGCACTCCAACTAGTTCTATGGCTACTGCCCAAGCTGAGGGAGCACTTCCAGGCGATGAGTGGATACGAAGCCATCGAGCGGGACTACCATGGTCACATCAAAGAGATCGAAAACAAGATACACGGGATAGTATCCGAGAGGTTAGCAGCTCAGCTGGAAGCCTGGGATGCCCGACCACCAATACCTTCTCAGACCTTCCGTCACATTTCCCGTCATCTGGTGAAACTCCACGAGGCAATCGCCGGAGTGCTGCCGGAGGCACAGATCCACGAGATCTACGGCGTGGTGCACCGAAACTTCAAGGACAAGATGCGGGAACAACTGCTCAAGTTGAATGTAAACAACAATGGGGGTCCGCAGCATGGAGTGGTGACTTCTGAGCTGACCTTCTACATGGAGACGCTGCGCACACTGAAAGCCCTGCCCGCCGAGCAGCTGGACAACGGTATTCTGGAGGAGATCTGGCTCTACTAAGCATTTCGAAGTATTCCAAAAGGTTGACGCGGATATCCTCCGACCGCCCAGCCGAGTTCGTCTTCATTGTTTGTTATCCTTGTTTTATTTATACCATTTCGATCGACGCGTCTAATTTGTTTGCCACTGTACATTGCTTGTACTTTTATGTTCCGCCCTATAACAAAAGGAAATGGGAAATGTATCTCTTTTGTTGCGCACTTTTTATAACATTTAAGCTAAAAGTCACTGAAAAGGCTTATGATTAAAGAATAGTAAATAATAAAAATCGTATAAATGAGAATAAATCAATGGCGGGAGATGTATTTTAATAAAATTATAATTATAATGTTCCCTTTTTAAATTTGTCATTCACAGTGAATGTAACGGTTTTTTGTTTCTATCGTTGCCAGACTGCCGCAGTTGCCAGTGGCAACCGTTAAAAATGCCAAACAAATAACAGCAGTTAATTTATTTTCACTTTCAATGCGATGCGCTTGCCGCAAATCTTTCACAGTCTGCACAAGCGTCTTCAAAGAATGTTTGAAAAGAACAGCGAGGACGGCGAGAGTGCCACGCCCAGTATTCAAGATATCGCCGGTCGACTTGCGGAGGAGCAGCAGCGTCTTCGCCAACTGGAGGCCACCACAATGCCCAAGGAGCGGACACTTTTGGTCCTGGGAAGCAAGTGTGTGGTAAGCTTTAAAAATGTAAAATTTCGAAATGTTTTACAGTGTTTTAAAGGAATTGTGTTAATAATGATTCTTAATTATCTTCTATAATTTGAACTATCAGAAAAGTGGATAAAAACATATACGTCTGATTAATGTTTAATAATTTGGGAACGCGTAATCATTTGCTCTACGGCGAGCATATATGATGACTTCAGAAGAAATATTTAGTTTTTACAAAAACTGTATATCGGTTAAAAACGATAAATATAATAATTTGAAATAATATATATAATAATTTCACCAGGGAAAGACGACTGCTATAAATAAGTTCTTCGATCGCGAGGAGCACGCCACACGTCCAACTTTGGCACTGGAATATAGCTTCGGTCGAAGAATCGGTAGTGGAAAGACACCCCAAGTGATGAACGTTTGGGAACTGGGATCCCTGGACAATGCCGAGCAACTGCTGGAGGTTCCCATTAAAACACATGGTCTGCAGCAACTAGCCGTCTTCATAATGTTAGATCTCTCCCAACCACAACGATTTTGGACGGATTTGGAGTGTGCCTACAAGGGATTGAGGGATACGGCGCAGCAGATGATGCAGAAATTGACACCAGATCTCAAGGAAATCCTTGAACAACGAACAATAGAGCGAGTGGGCCAGCAGAGCAAGGAGAACCTCGAACCGCTTCCTTTTCCAGTGGTAATTGTGGGTGGAAAGTACGATATATTTTCTGGTTTTGATCCAGCTATCAAGAAACACACCTGTCGCTGCCTGCGTTCTATGGCTCATCTAATCGGAGGCGCACTGCTATTCTACTCTCACCGGATGCCCAAACTGGCCAAGGTCCTGAGGGACACCATCAGCCACATGGGATTCGGAAGTCCTGCACATCCATTTCGCTCCCATGTTGAGGATTTCAATGAACCACTTTGCATTTGGTTCGGAACGGACAGTTGGTCAAAAATTGGAGATACTGGTGTCCAAAGTGTGGAGCGGATTGGAGCCACGTTTGGGGTGGAAGTGCCACAGTTGCAACTGGAAAAGCAGAAGCTACAGGAAACACCAGATCCAGCCAAGGATCCTGGTTTCAAAGAATCCCTCATCGATGAGATGCGATCGCAGAAGAACGAGGAGCTCGCTGGTTTAATGAGAGATGCCTTGCTGCGCGGAAAGTTCGAGAGTGTTCAAAATTAGCAACAATACTGGGATTAATCAATGATGTGTACCTCAAAGTATTAAAGAGTATCAAAATAAAACTATAATAATAAGGAACTTATCTTAATTTTTGAATGACATAAAAATTAATTTAGGAAGCGTAGCAAAAAATGTCAGGTTGATATTTCGCTTCAAGGGTTCAAAATCAAGAATTGTAATATATAAACAGTATCTAAAGTTTGATTGATTTGTTTAAATTTGAAAAATGTCTCAACCTGTCGCATCGAAGGCTCGTGTCATTAAGATCCTCAACCGCATTGGAGCCCGTGGCATACTAACTGAGGTCCGGGTGCAGTTGGTCGATCAACCCAGGATGCAATTTATGAGGACTGTTAAGGGACCTGTGCGTCTTGGGGACATTGTGGATTTTGAGGACACCGAAATAACTTGGCAGGCCTCGAGCAGGAGCAACAGCAACTTCGGTGATATTTGCTAAGCATATTAAAAGACCGTTGGTACTGCAACGGAATATAGAGACGAAAAAGTTACAACTAAAAAGCTACTATTAATGAACTTAAAATAACCCTAAAGGTCCACTACACAAACTCGTCAACCATATAAACATAGTTAACATAGTTAACAAAACTAATAAAATTGTTGATGAAATACTAAATAGTTTTAAAAAACTAAACAAATACGTTTGGTTCTAAAATAGTTCCCAGTTCACTTAATTTAATATATAAAAAACAAGTTCGGTTTTTTTAAAATACGTGTACTTTCTGAAAGTTATGATCTATTTGAACCACAAACAAGTTTAAATTTTTAAAATTGAAAAGAAGACAATTTGTTAATTATATATAGGATAATTGCACAAGTATGGCAACGCCAATCCAGGGATGCGAAAAAGGAATTTGCCAATCACGTGTCGGCTTGAATTACCGTTATAAAGGAGCGCACCACTCTCGCTCTCCGCTCTCTCTCCATCTCGCTCGCTCTTTTGGGGAGCTTGGGCTCCAAGCGGACGCTGGCAGCGACGCCGACTGCGCCGCCGGCGTTTCGGTTTGGATTCGCTTTAGGTTTCAGTTGGCTTTCCAGCTCAGTCGCTCAGTCGCTTTCAACTGCTCTCGCGTGGCGGAGCTCTCTCCGCGCTCTTTCCTCGGCGGTCGTGTGTGTGCGTGCACGCGCGGGTGTGTGTGCGAATTTGTTTGGTTCGGATTTTTTGGCAAAATAAAAACTCCGCTGCGAGTTCTACGGAAAATTACGAATAGTGGCCAAACCAAGAAACATGAGAAGCTTTGCGGCCCTGAAACACTGTAATTAAAACCCCGCCAGAAAGGAAAAAGCCCCCAACTTCGCCCCGTAAAGTTGCTGCGTTGTGTAATCAGTCCGAAACGGAGTTTCTCGCTTTGTTTGTTTTTCTCGGCTTTATTTTCGGCAACAAAAATAATTTTTAAATTGCTTTAAGCTTGCGGAGTTTTGGGGCAAAAGCTCTGGGAAACTTCAAAACTTGACAAATAAATCATCACAGGTGAGTTGGAATAATACATTTCACACGTACACACACACACACGCGCAAACGAAAGCCGAGCAAAACTGCTGTGCTCCATTTTTTTTGTGGTAGGTCACGGTATAAAAAACTCAACTAGCAAACCCCAAAACACCAAATTATCGATTTTCTTTTAGAGCTCCATTTCTGGCGCTCTTTTTTATACATATATATTTTCCTGCGATTTTATTCCGTCACGTTAGTGTGCGTGTTCGGTGTGATTGTGTGTGTATTTAATCAAGAACAGAAACTGTTATTTTCCTGCAGCTTACCGTTAGCCGAGCCGAGCAACCGCATTTGCATTTTGTCACATTGCCAAGGCAACGCGAACCAAGCGCCATATGGTCGCGATCTGATACCCTATCCCGATTTGTTCTTCTTGGGGCTTCACCACAGTCCCATGGGCTTGGCGACTTTCTTATCGGGGGTTTTTATTACTTCCTCAGGCCATCTCAAGAGATCAAATGTATAACGAGAGCAATTAACAGTATAAAAATCTGGTTGGGTCAGCTTTTTGGCAGTTTGGGGGCACTAAAGATGTACAATCATCTCTTAATAGTACATTTTAGCTAATAAAATGTTGTATTTTAAATATTATAATTCTCTTTTCTAAGTAACGGAACCCTATACCGATTTGCATCTACTTGAGGGTTTACCACAAGTCCCATGGACTTAGCGACCTCCTTATTAAGGGTTTTTCAATACTTCCTAAAGCAATCTCAAGAAATCGCATAGAAAAAGCAATTAATAGTATCAAAACCTGGTTGGGGTCAGCTTTTCGCCAGTTTTGAGGTACTAAAGATTTACAATCGTCTTATTATAGTACAAATTAGGTAATCAAATTCTTTTATTTATTCCTAGATTCTAAAATTATTTTTCTTAAAAAATCTTTGTAGTAAATTTTAGGTAATCAACTTTTTTTTATTTTTTTTTAAATATAATAATTATCTTTCTTATGCAACGGAACCCTATCCCGCTTTGCTTATACTAGAGGCGTTACCATAAACTTGGCGACATCCTTATCAAGGGTTTTTAACTACTTCGATCTCAAGAGATCGTATAACGAAAGCAGTTAACAGTATCAAATCCTGATGGGTCAGCTTTTTGCCAGTTGGGGGCACTAAAGATTTACAATAATCTCTTTATAGTACATTTAAGCTAATAAAATTCTCTTACTTATTCCTAGATTCAATTATTAGTTTGCTTAATAAACAAAACTTCTAAACAATTCGAGTTAACAAATAATACAAAAACAAATTCGGTAGATTCTTTAGAATCCTATTTTTTTACGTGTTTTGTATTATTATAGAAATGTTAACTTTATATTTTTCGTACAAACTTTTAAATATTACTTACCATGCTATACAAAAGAATTCAGCTTTCAAGATCCTCAAGAATCTTGATCTATAAAAGTGGGCTTAAAATGAATTGGAAACATTTTAGATTTAAAATAATACCCGGAATATTAATAATTTAACTTAACATTGTCCAAAATATAACCATCATTATTTAATTAATTAGCTCCAAAGGAATCATTCCAGATTGATGTTTTAATCCAATCGTAAGGGTATTTATTGGTTGCCCTCTAATGTTTGTGGTTTCTTTTACTCTGTTTTATTTTCTTTCTTGATGTTTACGTACGTTGGACTTGCGACGCTTGCATTATTGGGATTTCTTTCTGGCACTCTGTTTATTGTTGTTCCCTTGTTTGGTGTTTTCATTACTGGCACGCTTTTCTGTTTCTTCGTTCTTTATTGCATCCTTTGACCCCAATCCCATTTCGCCTTGTTTTGATCCCCAAACAACGAAATATGTGTTGGATTCTTCATAACGAACATTCATTTCAACACATCAGCCTCGTTCGTTAATAAATTATTGAAGTTATGACTTCAGAAACCCGACTTAATTTGCCTTATTTGGATATGCCCACGCTTAGAATTTGAGTCAGGGGAATACACATTTAGATTGCCCCGAAGCGTTATATTTTTGGCTGAAAAGAACAAAGCAAATAAAATACTTGAAAATGTTCAATTTTTTATACCTTTGACCCCAGGGCGTGGAAACCAAAGCGTATCTCTATAGATATATGTATCTATAAATGTATCTTAGTCGCTTGCCTGTATTTGTGTGCGATGATTAATCATAATAATTTGTATTAAGACCCCTTAAGCCACGCTGTCGGCACTGGCGGTTGGTAACAGTAAAGCTCCTTTCAGTAACTTGGCTTATGTTCATTTTGGCATTGGTTACTTTCGAAAAGCCTTTCGGCAAACACAACGACCTTACTTCATATAAATATACATATTCATTAGTACAGATAAAGCATGGCCAATGACTTGCACTCGAAACTGTTAATTGAACCATGAAAGAGCGTGTAAATTAGAACTTGGCACATCCACACGAAAAATGCTTTAAAAAGAAATCTGCTAATTAAAGCAGCTAAACTGGAATTTCAAGCAAAAAAATATAATAAACACTGGATGACAAATGGCACCCAAAAAAAGTGTGAAGTGAAGATCAGGCAATCAAATTTTATGAAGCAGTCGGAGTAAGAAAAAAATAAGTGTGGGTGCGATCAGTTCAGAGCGCAATCAACATTTATTATTAAATGTCAAATATAATTTAAGATGGCAATTTGTCGCGGAACGAATTACTTCCCTTTTTGCCTGCCTGGCAACTGAGATGCGATTGGGGTAGGGTAGGGTGGGAAGCGAAAAAGATATTGCAAAATGAAAGATACAATTTGCATAACAGTTTATCTCATGATTCCAATTGAGACCCAGGAAAGATTAAACAATTTAACAGGGTATATAAAGATTAACTGGTAACAATCATACCCATTGACAACAAAACAAACATAAGAATTTTTGTAGAAATAAAAAAAAACAATTAAGCTATCTTATATAAGTAAATATGTTATCCTAATGCCAATATGTTTAACTGATAACATTTTATTTCCGCATAATATCCTTATCAAATTTAATGAAATTAGGTCCGATATCATATGATGATTATCAGTTTATCAGACTTGTAAGTGATTTGCTTATCTAACTGATCTAACAAATTTAGTTACACTTTTTTAGTAAATGCCAAATGTTATACAAAGTAGTCCAATTAGCCTACTCTATAATTATTTTTATTGGCTGAAACCCACTGATTGTTTATTTAAACAGTTTGTTCATGACAATTATAAATATATTAAGAGAATTCAGGTATAGATGTTTAATAAATTCATTATTTTAGTTTTCAGTCAGTTTAAGGGTCCTGGAGTTATTAAAATCGCTTTAATAGTCTCAAGATTAAAAAATACCAAAGGTACATTTTTGACTTACATATGTCACATGATCGATAAGCTTTGTTTATTTTTCTGAATAGAAAAATTAAGGTCCTACAGCGGGAAAATAAGAAATTTTTGGATGATTTCGAATGTATTGTAATTTTTTGCATAAAAATGTGATATCCGAAATGTTATATGCTTTCTCAACTAGTTAAAAGGGGTTTGCGTTTGATAGTTTATTAGGAAAGAGATAAATAGACTTGGGTAACTGCGGATGGTATGTCATTGAGTATCCATCGTGTCTCTAACATGTAATCTCCATCCGGGTAGGGAAGCACTTTTGTAAGATGATGGTTTACTATCTCGGTGGAAAGTCTGTCCACAAGAATATCGTGCTAAAAACGCAAAACAATTAATATGCTAGATATTTCCACTTAACCCATTTCTATACATACATTATATGGACAGGAATGATTCAAGTTCGTAATCCCCCTAATAATGTCGAAAAAATATTTAGCGACAGGATTGGACTTTTGATGATTTATGAAATAGCAAGCGTCTATGGTTTGATTGTAAAGGAAAGGCTTGTAACCATTAAACCGCTTGAACAGTCCAAAATTAACCTGAAATGACAAAATTTTTTTTTGGAATTATGTAACTTTTTAGAGTTAAGTACATACGAATGTACCTTGATCTTGGTAATTGGAATTTTATACAGCTTAAGCTTTCCCGAAACGTATTTGTAGGTACGATTTACGGCTTTTAAAGTGCAATATTCAATTTCGGCCATGTCCTTATCCACAGCCATACACTTGAGGTTAGTGAACTCCACTCGCGAAGTAATCTATAACAACGTTGGTTTTAAAAATATTAAATATTTTTGAATCCCAAACCTCTTCTGTTATTAAAAAAAGCACTAGTAAGCGAAAGCAAAAAGTCTGCTTTGCAAACATCATATTGTATCGATGGCCCCCGGGAAACTAAATTCCATTTACGGGCCTAATTACATTGATTATTTAATATAATTTTGAATTTGGGCTTAATTGATAAATAATTGCAACTTTTTTATGGCGAATAGAAGAGCACTGGATCACAAATGGATGTGTATATTAAGATTAGAATCAATCAAATATCACAATGGCAACAATTGTGTTGTGATCGAGTTTTCGTTTTAAAAATATTAATCAAGGAAATATGGGAATGCATTTTTTACCCAGCAAGGAAAGCCAAGCCAAAACACTTCAGAGAATTAAGGAAAAAGTTGAGGATGTGCCTATGATTTATTATCGCCAAAGAACACATCATATAGTGGTTGACCGAACCCCCACTCTTGGCTCCTAAGCTGCGACTGTTTGTCTAGAAATTTATCAAGATTTCGACGACGTGGCTGCCATCGGAAGCACAAGCAAACATATAGTATACAGATGGAAAGGCAGGCAGGAACAAGCTTCTTTGTCATGCGGCACGCTCGTAAATCTAATGGCATCTGTGAGATACAAAGATACATTCGCAGTGCGCGCATAATGTGCATAAATATTACAGATGCTTCTTGCGCCGCCATCCAAATGTCATCTGTCATTGGGAATGCAGAAAAGCCATGAGGCAAATGTCAACCAAGGATAATATAACATTATACAATCGGCTGATCGATAAGTATATATTTTATCTCGTTAACCAGTGGGGGGTTTGAAATAACAGAATGCCATAAGGTCAATCATATTTGCTTATAGATTTTTATAGGACTTTTGAGAATTTATGTATAAATCTAGTTAGTAGTACCCTCCACTTAGGGCAAAAGTTTTCGAATGTACGATTGCATCAACTTTTTAAAGCGGAAACTTAAAGTTAGCTTTACATTAATTACCTGCTCCCCAAGCATGACCGGACTGACCCTTCCTTAACCATGTTCAGGGTACAGAACCAAATAAAATCAGTGCCCTCTGTCCCAGTGAAAAGGTAACCCAGTTGCATGGGGCACAATGAACTGCAATCGCCGCGAGTGGAGGAAATGGGAAGCGACTGCAGTCGCAGCTCACTGAAGCATCAAACGACCAGAAGGTGACTTAAAGCTGCTACCCGGGAGCCTTGAATCAACAACTTCCGAATCCACTCCACACCATACAACACCATTCTACGCCGTCCCGCAATTGCATTCTGTGTGCGTGCCGTAGTATCTGGCAGATACTGCCAGACCCCAGAGCTCCATGGTCATAAATGAGCGACCAAGCACGACAGCAGCGCGGCATCGACTGACATCCCACTTAGAGATGGGATGTGCTCCACCCGTAAACTGCATCCCCAGCACTTCTTGCCCCCGTTAAATATCACCCACGGATACAGAGCCGATATTTAACGTCGGTTGACAAACGCAAAGTGTGCATAACTTTTAGTAGAGCATGAAAAATTAACTTTAATTCGATTGTAGGCAGTTCCCAGATGGCTCTGCGTCCATTACTTCTTCTGCCGGTGACGGAGTGCCTGGGTGCAGTTTCGTTCGCCGGCCAATTAATGTGTGATAATTAAATTGTGATATCAGCTGAACAATTTACTAATTAAAGCTGCAAAGCGTAGTGCCTGATGATGATGGGCATGAAGAGCTCTGCGGTTGTGGGTGAAGATGTTCAAGATAAATTAAGAGAAATGAGTTATTAAGATTACTATATAGGGAGGGGTCTTATTCCATTTGCAAATATTTTTAAAGGTACTAGGTCCTATTGATACAGCATTTTGTTGACGAACTGTATGCATTATAAATATACAATATCGTAATAAACATTATTAAAGAGTCGTGTTTGTTTATAAAATTGTAAAAACCTACTAGGACCTTTTGTTATTGAATATTATTGTATTGTTATAGTCCTTTTATTTCAAATACTTTGTATATTCTGTCCCTTTTTCTTGTTATGAAATCTAATAATACATGTTCTCATGTCTTACACTTATCGCGACTACATGGGACCTAACCTTTAAGGAACTGACCTACCTAAGAAGTTTAGCCTCGAAGTCAAACCAGTTTCTTCGGTTCTCACGTCCTAGAACTCGAACTCAACTTGCTTCCTTATTTTCCCACTTCTCTAGTTCATGATCCAGCTAATGAGCAATTTAGCAGGAGCTCTCACATCCTCGACCGCCATCCTTTCGCTCCCAAAAAGGCAGCGAAGCGTTAAGCTAGACTGTCTGGCGGGCAAGGATAATGCCACAGACACTTGAGCTGGGATGTGCTTAGGTCAAAAGCCAGTCCATACGGAGACGGAGAAAATGTTACCCCAGCCTGGGAAATTTGCATGTTTTGCACAATTTCGAGCAACCCCTGGCGCCCAATCAGGGGGATTAAATTTTCGGTGGTGACTGCTTATGCTTTATAAGCAATTAATATGTCAGTTAGTGGCTTGGACAGATTGATGGGGTTGTTGGCTCGGTCCAAGCCGAAATCGTAAGCAAACCAGAGCAATTAGATGGGGAACTGTCAACGGCAGGCACGAACTGCCAGTAACTTGGAAAGTTTTCCTTCATTTTCCTGCCTCAACGGCTCGTGTTCGGCACGTTTTTGCATGATTTCCGGCGCACCCTCGCCGATTTTCCCCGACTGACTGGACTGCGGCGGGGGTAACAAGGACACTCCCTGGCATTTGTAGGCCGCCTCGAGCGTGTGGCACATTATCCTTAAGCGTCGCCGCGGCAGGCGCTTGTCTTTATAAAGTCCCAAGCTACAAGTGCAAAATGCTGAGAATAGCTTTTTCTCCGCAACTATCGTTTCTCTGGAGAAAGAGTAAAGAAAGCGGCGCGTGTTCTGCCCACAGTTCCCGTGGGAATTCCCAAGAATCTCATATCGTGGGCGTGCGAACATATTTCTGTACCCATTTCCTGTGACCTGACTCCTTTGGCAAATGTCAACCGGGTTTAATGGGGTTGATTTAATCCAAAGCTATTTTGCCTTTGTGCATTGCAACAGCTTGTAATTGGAATTAAGAGTTAGAGAACTGGGATTGGCAACAAGTCCTGACACACCCATAAATAAGACTATTTTTACAAGTTTCAGTACTGAAAAAACCAACAAAATCAATTGGTTACATGTTTCGTAACTAAGTAACATAAATAATTGATTTAAATAAAACCCTAATGCTATAGAGTTTTTAAGTAAACATCAATTTCGAAGATTTAACCATAAACCACCTTAATATCTAGCAAATCAAACAAATCCCATTCCAAAATACCTCCTTTTTGATTTGTTTAGCCCCCTGAATAACGAAACTTTTCTCAACTTTATCCGGGCAATCAATTTCATCTTATTCCTTACCTTCAGTCCTTGGGCGGAATTGAACTCCTGGCCCGAACCTTGAGTTGTTCATGCCACAGAAACCAATTCCACAGATGAGAGGAAGCACAAATTTAAAGGCCAACACCCACACTCTTTATATATGTATGAAAACAAAATACACTCCGGTCCCAATCAACCCACAGGCAATATGAAAAAAAATATAGAATTTCAGCAGAGAAGAAGTTTAATGGACATCCGGCTTTTATTATGCTTAGTCTTATTATTATTGTTTTCCACCTTGAAGGTGTGTGCTGATGACGAAGAGGAAGAAGCACCTCAAGTGCAATTGAAAAAGCCAAAACCACAAGAAACAACAATAATAAAAGCATTAAAACCAACAAAAGCCACTGCGAATGTACGATGTTGATATTTGCGTTGGCAAAGGAAACGTCGTCGTCTTTGGCGTGGTCGAGAAGGAAAATCCAGAAGACAGTAGATATGGTTCTTAGAATGGGATGGGGCTTCAAGGGGCGAAGGAGGAGGCAAGTGTGTTGGGCACTCTGCCTCATTAAGTGTCTGACGGCCTTTGGTTTATGGTCTCCAACTAGATGGAGGATTAGCAATTGCACAACTATACGCGTATACTATGTACTATGCTGGTGTCTCTGGCACTTTTGCGGGGGTGTCGATTTTGGCGTGGTCTAAACAAGTTTAGGCGCCTTTACGGCCATCATTAATCTTGTGGCATGCCCCACGAAAACATAGAACACCAATCAACAGAGCCACGCCTTGAGGCGCCCCACTTGGATACCATTTCCTTTATTGATTCACTTGCGGGGGCTCGAAATCTACCACCATCCATTGTACAACTGTCGAGTGTAAATTTAGCGGATACATGTTTCCGCCGTTAATCGGAATAGGTGATAAGCTGATTAATTTTAGCGGCAATTAAACGGCAGTAGATGCAGCACAGGAAATGGAACTGAAGAACTAAAGAATTGCAATTCCAATAACCTAAGATATATTAAGAACTAACTTTCTTCTCTATTTTCAAACGGTTTTTTTATCCTGACAGAGAGTAATAAGATTTCAGTGAGAAGTTTGCATCGCGAACTAGTCTATCAAGTAGCAAATTTTAGCTCGTTAATACTTTTTTTCACACTTCTGATGATTTTCTCCGACTTTTTACTTTTTATTCTAATTAGTGAACATTAATAAGGTACAAAATTGAAGATACGAAGTTTCTAAGTAAATTCCAAGAACCAAAGTCAATAAACCCACCTTGAATGAAATTTCTGGAAGATCCTGATTTTCAACCCGATCAAATGGTCTAAAAATCTCCGGACTAAATATTTATTTGCTTAT